CCAATTACCAATAGTAAAACATAAAATTACTTTCTTCCATGTACCAATTATACAGTAAATATAATTTTCTACATTTTAAATGTGATTTTCTCCATTTTAACTTGATCAATTGGTATATGTATTTACCTAGATTTAATTTTTTCTCATGACTTAAACATTGTAAATTAAATCATAAAATTAAGTTTAATATCTATTGGTCTGGCAATAAATATGACATTATGATGGATCGAGAACAAATATGCATTTAACTTTATTTGCTAGCATGCTAATTTCCTCGCACTACATTACATATATTCATGGTCCAATGAGTAATTTTTAGTCAAACAAGCTTCAACCGTTGTAACTAAAGGGTAATAAGCATAAACATGAGTAACATTTTAATAAGTAGATCACCAATATTTTAATATAAGAAATTATTATATTTGAATAATGTTTGGTTAAGTCGATCACCAATCTTTTCGAATCACATCCCAATTCAAAGATGTTGATTTTTAACATAGAACAAATTCTATAATAGGTTAGCAAGCATAACAACAAACCACATGATAGAGTATATGGGTTCGGATACATGCCCAGTCACACTTTTGGATACACAATGGATCAAAACCGGTCACACTTATGAAGGCCTCTCAAACAAGCTCGGCCCAGAATGAAAAAAACGTCTCTTCGTCCATACAGTCACCTTGATGGGTCATCACTGATGACACCTCAGCCATAGAACCCAGTCAGTAACTCAGGAACAAGGAGAACACCAGACCCGGAGTGCACCCCTGCACCTCGACCATCATCACCTCGACCCACAAAAAACACTTGGGCAGAAGTCAATCAGGGAATGACACACGTCAATTTTTGCTATGCCACAAGGATATGATCTCGCCCATAGATTAGCCGACACATGTAATGCATTTAATGCACCGCCTCATTTATCACTACTATAAATATCCCATTGGGATAGTTTTAAAGGGTTCGAATATCTTTTAAAATAAGTTCTCTCTCTCAACTTTAGCCCTCCCTTCTTTTATTATACCAGTAACGGTTTACCAGTAAACTATCAATAGACTATACTATCTTTTTATTTTCATAAATTAATTGTTCATTATGTACATTAGAATAAAATATAATTTCAAACAAATCGTTGTTTTGTTCTAGATGTACCCGTGCATCGCACGGGTATTTCGTCTACAATTGGAGCATTGGAGATGCTCTAAGAATTTGCATAGAGAGGCATCCAAAAAGTATTTTAGACACATGTTTGTATAATGCAGAATATAAAGTAGTAGAATTGTTACAATTTTTGTACGCAAAATTTCCGCCCAAATTTTGGGCAATTGTGTGAAAATAAACAGTATCAAAAGTAATTATTCTTGCCTTAAATAATATCTTTAGAAATGATAGACCTAAATTTGAACCAATATTAATTCCTTAAGTAACTAATGAACCAATATGTTTATCTTTATATAATATAAAGTAGCAAAGTTGCTACAGTTTTTGGAGAGAAAATTGCCGCCCATGTTAGTGGCATATTTGGAATTTACATTTCATCTAAAATTGCATTCAACTCAGCCGTCCCATATAATTAAGGTAAGTAGATGCTTTCAACATGGTAGGATATTAATGGTAAGCAATTATATTTAAACATGGTTCCTCATATACGGAGTATCTCTTTATTTGGATGTTTATTATGGAATATTATAGAACAATTCACCTATGGAATACATATGTGTACTTTTAAAGTTAAGTTTCAGGAATAAATAAAAACCATTTAGGTTAGATTTTAGACTAAGTTTTGGAAATAACTCAACATTACCCTGCATTTTCAACAAATAAATTATTCTAATTCTAATTTACAGTAATATTATTTAGTAATAATAATCTTTTTATTATATAAAGTAGCAGAGTGGTTACAAGATTTGGAGGTAAAATTGCCGATCAAAAGAGGGGAAAAAATGTAATATGTGTGCATTTCAATACATATAATCTTGCCCGGCCGCCCGTATAATTTATGTGCGTTGAAAGTCTATTGCTACGTAATTAATGCATCTTCTATTCTTGCTAATTATAGTCTTACATGTATGTGCCTAAATTATATATATGTACATTCAATTGAATAAATTAAGCAAATATTGAATGCTTTCCTTTTATGTTTAGTCACATGCCATATCATTGCTAATAAATATTCATTATCAACCATTTTATAATTTAATTCTAATGCTAACCCCACATTTTTAAACATACGGTTCATCTTATCCAATGTTGACAACAAATTTCTATACACGTGAAAGTGTAATTTAATTATACTAGATCTAATTTAATAATGAAATTTTCTCTCATTTAATTAAAGTGATACCAATATTGTAATCATAAAAATAGCTATAATCTTAATCTTTACATAATATAACGTAACAGTGTGGCTACAATTTTTGGAGACAAAGATGCCGCCCAAATTAAAGGTAAAAAGATAATTGAATTTAAGTTCCATAAAATGTGTACTATATGCTAGATCTAAATATGTACATACGTATGGAATCAAATCTAAATCTTAATATTTCTTTGATTTATATACTACAAGAAAAACCGTTTTTTGCGTCAACAAAAAGTCGACGCAAAAGAGCAACAGTCGACGCAAATACGTTTTTTGCGTCCACATGTCGACGCAAAAGGGTCGACGCAAAAGGCTCGACGCAAATAATGTTTTTGCGTCGACAATGTGTGACGCAATTAATAAAATATTATTCGCGTCGACATATGGACGGAAAAGATCTTCCAGAAGTAATCATGCATAATGTTGACGCAAAAATTGAGGATTTATTTGCGTCCACACGTCGACGCAAATAATACCATTATTTGCGTCCACATGTCGACATTGTGACGCAAATAGCACTGTACAGGTCTGAAATTACACCACATTACCTATTGCTATTCATACAAAACTTTTATTAATAAATCAATGTTACCAAAATCTGTCCAAACACAACCAATGTCAACAACAAATAAATTCATTCAATATCCATAGTAAAAGTGAGTTATCCTACAACGAAGTTTCATTAAATCATTACAAACAACATCACAAAATGTAAACATAAATAAATTCATGTTCATCTTAACCAAGTAAAAAGCATATTCAACTCGATGTTATCAATCTTGATCATCTTCATCGAGACTCCGATCAGGTTGGTTAGCACTTGATGTCGAAGGAATATCATTTGCGGAGCTGCGTGAAGGAAGTTGAAAGCCAGGAATAAATTGTTGTAGGGCACGAAGCATCAACTCCTGATTTGCTTGCATTAACTCTTGATTTGCCTTCAATTCACTTATTTGAACATCCCGGTGGTCTTGGAACGTTGAAGTAGCCCCATCTTCCACTCGTCGAGATGCACCCTTTGATAGGGTAGGACCCACTCCGCTTTGGCGTCCGCGATATCTTCTCAAGTTCCGGTGCATAATATCAATCTCATTTATTGAAGACGATGACCCTGTTTGTCCTAGCTGTGTTTGGTACTCTTCGCTCATTTGAGTCTATCAAATTACAATTCATATAGTTACATATCATTATGATTACAATTAATAAACTATTTTTTAATATACTTAAATATTTTTCATGTGCTTCTTGTGTTCTCCATTCACCACTACGAGTCAAACGTTGATCTTTCCAATTTTCAAGAGCTGATTACTGCTCACCAGTTTCTGGATCATCCTGTTTAATATTCATTATAATTGTCAATGTCTAAAATAACATGAATGATCAATAACTAACATTAACATTAAATTAGTAGCTTGAAATTTTAACATTGGTCGATCAGTAATCACTACCACAACATTAAGGATTGTACTACTAGATACAATATATTTTTATTGAACATATATTTTTATTGAATATGAGATTTCTAGATATGTGAAACCAACCCCATAACACAAACACCTGTGGATTAGAATGTGTCTTAAGATTAGACCACACTTTTCAAACTCTCAGGCAGAACTAAATTGGTATCAGCTGGAGAAAACCTGCAAAATGATGCTTCATAAGTTCATACCAGTGATACCACAATGGTGAAAATATAATGCACAGATATGGAAAATGTAAAACCTATGGCATAGACATGTGTGAGATGTTATGAGATATATACAGCTCTAAAGCTTAGAAGCTAGAGTGCAGATATATCACATTATAAGAGGTAACAATGTCACCTTGAAATTTCAAAACGCGACAGTCTATCTCCCTTTGTATATTAGGAACCTGCTGCACAGTTTAATCATAATAATGTTGACAATAATCACAAGAAGTTATTCATACATAAATACATATACTCTGTAAGTAGTTATTCATTTTTTAACTTAGCTTTTTCATTTCAAATTATCTAATACTTGACCGTAGATGCAACTAAAGTTTTAAAAAACTCCATAATCTATTTTAAAGGAGGGTAGAGTGCATATATGTTGCTTAAAAAACTCCATAAAAACGCCATGCAACAATGATTCCTTGGGATGCTAACATGTTAGCATCCTAGGCGATTACCTAAATTTAGCATCTGAAATAGCCAGTGAGAGGAAAGTGTTTAATGTGACTAGAATCTGGAGACTTCATTGTTAATGTAAATGTCACCACACTTTTCAAAGAGTCCAGCTAAAACATAGTTTTAAATCTTATAATTTTCAAAGGCTCACATGATTATAGGAATGCCTTATTTTGGTTAATTTATCAAAACAACATGAGTTGGCGTCATATCATTCCTGCACAGTTTAAATCTCAGATATACAAATTGCACATAACTGAAATATACTCCATAGTATGAAATAGAAGCGTGATGATAGAAGCAGAAAAAGAAACCCTAGCAGACGGTGTTAACGACTGCCCAGCCTTAGGCTCAAACCAAATCTTTATTCTCGATAATCAATAATAGTTCACAAGACCTCCTTAAATACTCCTTAACCTAATAATAAAATATGGCCATCTAGGCCCATTAACCTAATAATAAAATATGACCATATAGGCCCAACAGTTTATTAGACATAACAATAGACTGAAATAAAGTAATGAAACCCAGCAGTCAACCCAGCCCAATTAGGTCCACTGACAGCAACCCATAAACTAATAATGGGCGAGGCCCGTCCTCCTGAAGCATTGGCCCGTTTGCCTCCTAGAGCCTCGGCCCATCTGCCTCCCACTCCCTAACAATTTCATCCCCCTCCAAAACAACCTTGTCCCCAAGGTTGGAGTGAAGAAGCTGCTGCTTGTTTCTCCTTCTGTTCCCCTAGCTGCTCAACCTCTTCGGGCGGGATAAAAGATTCAGTTTGATTGAGGTCGAGTTCCTCATCTTCCTCGACAACCATTACTCTTAACTGTTTTAGGGGACATTCATGCCTGGGGGTATAGGGCTTCTTGCAACGGAAACAAAGCCCTTTTGCACGTAGGTCTGCAAATTCCTGCGGTGAGAGGCGTGTGAACCGAGAGCGATTCTCCGACTGGCCAGTCATGGCTGACCCGGACCCCGAGGTACTACCTGGAGATCGCGAGGAAGTTGTGCTTCCTGCTGCCCCTTGGTTTCCAGTAACTGGCGTGGAAGAGAGCCCCGAAAACCCGCCAACTTTGGTGTAATTACTGGAACGGCACTGCTGATTGTCGTATCCCCATTCTGATCTCCCTCCGGACTGTACGGCCAAGTCTTCTTCGATATCTCTTGCTAACTCCATAGCAGCTTCCAAATCAATTGGGCGTAGGGTCCGTAAGGAACTGCGAATGGTGTCCCGTAGCCCTTTCATAAAGTACCCCAAGTAGTGGGCATCACTCAAACCTGGGACCTGACTGGCTAATTGCACGAACAAATTTACATAGTCATCCATGGATCCTGTCTGCTTAACGTCAGCCAACCGTTCGAACGTGCTCCCTTTGAACCGAGTATCAAAACGGGCTACAAGGGCTTGTGAAAACTCCTCCCAAGCTATGCCTGGTTTCCGCGACCGTGTCCAAGAAAACCAGTACAAAGCAGGACCCTCCATTGCTACCATGGCTGACGCCACCTTCAACTCAGGTCGGGTCTGATGTATTTCAAATTGCTGATTGGCCCTGGCAAGCCATCCAATCGGATCTGCCCCCTCAAACGCCGGTAGCGTCAGAGGTGCGGTCACAGACCTAGGGTTGTGGGAGTTCTGCGAGTCAGTCGTGCCTCCTTCTCCTCCTGACTCAGAATCAGCCAGCGTTCCCCCCGACGCCATAATCTTCTGCGCCAGTTTGTCTAGGGTTTGCGTGATAGCATCCAACTTGGCGTTGGTGGATTGCAATTCTGCCCTGATGTCCTTCTGGTCTGCTTCTATCGCATCTATGCGTTGATCAATGGTGGAACGAGTCATGATGAACGTAGGGCGGTGGATAGGATCCGGCAGGTCGGACCAAATTGATAGAAGCAGAAAAAGAAACCCTAGCAGACGGTGTTAACGACTGCCCAGCCTTAGGCTCAAACCAAATCTTTATTCTCGATAATCAATAATAGTTCACAAGACCTCCTTAAATACTCCTTAACCTAATAATAAAATATGGCCATCTAGGCCCATTAACCTAATAATAAAATATGACCATATAGGCCCAACAGTTTATTAGACATAACAATAGACTGAAATAAAGTAATGAAACCCAGCAGTCAACCCAGCCCAATTAGGTCCACTGACAGCAACCCATAAACTAATAATGGGCGAGGCCCGTCCTCCTGAAGCATTGGCCCGTTTGCCTCCTAGAGCCTCGGCCCATCTGCCTCCCACTCCCTAACACGTGATGTAGTAATACAGTTTGTTTCTATAGACAAATCTGTTTTAGTAATGCAGTAAACCTTTTAATCAGAAATACTATACCCTTTGTATTTTTTAACCAGAATCATTTCTTTTTTCATACTTAATTTCCAAAGTCTTCATAAGTTCAAAAAGTTAACCTATTCATTTTTTTCTTTTTTCTTTTTGTGAAGAAAAGTGGGAAAATGAAAACATGGTAGGTTGGGTCCAAAGTCTTCATAAAATAGTAACCAGACTTCTTCTTTTTTTCACAATAAACCTCACAAAATTAGCACAACCAATGTCAACTACGGACTATATTTTAATTCTTCAAAAAATTCAGCAAAGAAACTTTCAAAACCTGAAAAAAGAAGATCAAACACAACTCTTCAAGTCCATGCTCTGTGGAAGAAGCCTCAAGATTGTTCAATTTCAGCACACGCAGGACAGTCTCTCTCCATTTGTATCTTAGGAACCTGCTAAGAAGAGTTGTGTTGACAATAATCACAAGAAGTGAATCACGTATGACAATACGTATATGTGTACATATACATATATATACTCTGTAAGTACTAAGAAGTTATTCATTTTCAACTTACTTTTTTTCATTTGAAATTATCTAATACTTGACAGTAGGTGCAACTTATGTTTTAAAAAAATCCGTTATCTATTTTAAATGAGTGTAGAGTGCATGTTGTTTACTGCCTGATGTTTTTGACTTTGAATGGGTTTTATATTTCAGATGTAAAAACAGACAAAACAGAAAATTTTAACAATATAAGCTTCCGTATTTTAGTTTGCTGGTACTTGGTGATGAGGTGTTATTAGTGAGAGAAATGACATTTTTTTTAATGCTGGAGTAATTGAATGAACTCTTAGTTTGAGATCCCAGAGTGTATTTTACTAAACAAAGATAACACTATAATAACCAACAAATTTAAATGAAAAACACATTGATAGCAAAGATAACAACGAAACCGATTACTTTTTTCCGCAGAATAAAGGCAAAGAACTACCCGTACTAAACAACTTTCAGATTTTAAAAGTAAGATGAAGTTTCACGATAACTTGAAATTCGAAATTTAAGAAATCAATTAAACTTAACAGATAAATAATCAATAGTTAATAGAAAATCTCAAAGTTTTTTGGCAGCCTAGGGGGTGAAGTGATGAGATAAACAGAAAACTGAAGTTCAAATCTGAAAAACCAACCTGAAGACAGCGAGTGCCAGAACTAGTCGGACGAAGAAGACGAAGTCGAGTGCGAAAATAGCTCACCAGATGCTCAGCCCTAACTCACCGAGAAGACTTCCGCCGCTCAGCCATCGTTTGGAAATATCATATGCCCTAACTCACTTGGAGGGGCTGCTGCTCTTTAAATTTTTTTCAGCATTAGCGTCGGCATATAGACGCTAATAAGTAACGCCATGTTGGCCCATTTTCGCATTTCGTTTTTTTGCGTGGACACCCGGCGACGCAAATACAATTCAACTCTTTTAGCGTCCACCTGTTGATGCAAATAATAAAATTTTATAAGGTTTTGTCTGGAAATTAAACAACATCATTTGCGTCCACGCGTCGACGCAAAAGAGTAGTTATTTGTGTCCACTTGTGTCGACGCAAAAAAGTTGGACGCAAATGATGCTATTTCTTGTAGAAATTTGTATATATAGATTATTGTATGTACGAAATATGTTCCTTTAATAACTTCCACATAAATAGAACATTTATTGCACCAATTAAGAATCTGTGGAAGTGCACCCATTAAGAGCATCTACAATGCTACAATGTGCACGGTGCACATGTGGCGTGTGAGATAGTCACAAATATTAGTAAATAAATTATCTCTCTCCTTATTGGAATGATTTAATATAATTTTGGTAAGTTATTCCCTGCAATGTCAAGGAGACCGTCTAGATGTAAACATTGTGGTTGACATTGTTAAGAAAAAACTTACCAAAATTGTATAAACTCATTCAAGTAAGGAAAGAGATAATTTATTTAATTATATTTATGTGGTTATATCTCATGCCACATGTGCACCGTGCACATCTTAGCATTGGAGATGCTCTAAGAATTTGCATAGAGAGGCATCCAAAAAGTATTTTAGACACATGTTTGTATAATGCAGAATATAAAGTAGCAGAATTGTTACAATTTTTGTATGCAAAAATTCCGCTCAAATTTGGGACAATTGTGTGAAAATAAAGAGTGTCAAAAGTAATTATTCTTGCCTTAAATAATATCTTTAGAAATGATAGACCTAAATTTGAACCAATATTAATGCCTTAAGTAACTAATGAACCAATATTATTGAATGAAAAGAACGGCTGTTGCCATAAATAATAGCTTCACAATTTAATGATATCTTCTCATCCTGGATGTATCAAAATATGTTACGGAGTATAATTTAAATATGTAAATAATATACGGTTTTAATGATAGGTCATTTATATAAGAAAAAATTGAAAATAATAATCTCAACTATTGCCGGTCCGGTGATAATAATCTCAACGATTAATTATCTTTATATAATCCCAACTATATGGACCGTCCGCCAATAACGGTCCATGACCATATATTACCTCCTAAAAAAGTGAATTTTAAATAGACATTAAGTGTAAAAATTAAAATTGGGGATTATTTATAGGGATTACTTGTTAAATCTCTCCTCATCCACTTTAGAAACTACAAGAATTTATTTATGGGGACGATTATTGGCGGAAGGTCCCTAAAGTTGGGATTATTCTGAAATAATCAATAGTTGGGATTATTACTATAAATATTTCCTTTATATATAAAGCTTTCTTAGGACCATCGGAGACACTTAAATTATGGACTCATGGTATTTCATTATCAAGTAGTACTTATTCTTACACTTTACACTCTATTTTAATGGGAAATTTGACTTTGCACCTCATTCCACTTCAAAATCCTTTTATTTTGCACCCCATTTATAAATGTTTCTTCACAAAATGTTATGTGATAGGGTGCAAAAATTAAAGTTTTTGGTGGTTTGCCTACCGGGAATTGAAAAAAAGGTGCAAAATTAAAGTTTTTTCAAAATGGGGTGTAAAGTCAAATTCACCCTTATTTTAAATTTCCTTGCAAATTTTGATACGGTCAACATTTTTCTTTTTCTACAAACTACCCTTATATTATAAAAATGACAACATATAAACTCTAATATATTTTTTTATTTAAAATAATTGCATATTGCGTACCAGCATAATAAAAGTTAATTTTGAACAATTTTTTATTCTGCTCTAGATGTACCCGTGCATCGCACGGGTATTGCGTCTAGTAGTAGTAGTAGTAAAAGTTAAGAGAGTATCACCTCAAGTAAGTAAAAGCAAAATTGGTCCACAAAACGTCAAGCATCTCAAACGTCTATTTTATATGATAAGAGAGTATCAATCTGCACCATATTTGTGATTTATATTTATTTAAAATCCAACAACTTGTATATGAAGTTGAACTCTCACAAGTAAAAGTTATAGTCAGTGAGCTAAAAATTGCAGGCTAATATAAAATACAATAGCAGCTATTATTACCAACAGAAGAAGAGACGTTATGCTGCTAAAATTTGTGGCAAAGGAAAGAAATAGACGAAAGCCGCTTCAGCCTCATCACTACACCCTTAATTATTTTTTCATGTTAACTAAGAGCATCTCCAATGGTATAATGTGCATAGTGCACACGTGGCATGAGAGATAGCCACATAAATATTAGTAAATAATTTCTTTTTCTCCTTATTTTAATGATTTTATACAAATTTAGTAAGTTTTTCTCCACAATGTCAAGGAGACCGTCTAAATGTTGACATTGCAGTTGACATTGCAGAGAAAAACTTACCAAAATTGTATAAAATCATTCAAATAAGGAGAGAGATAATTTATTTGCTAATATTTATGTGGCTATCATTCATGCCACATGTGCACCGTGCACGTTTTAGCATTGGAGATGCTCTAATAATGACCAATTGCAACTGTGATGAAATCCCGTGTACCACCATGCATAATAACTAAAGTTATTATGAGTATAATTCAATGATTGCGACAATACAAAATTGAATATGAACATGTTCATAAATAGTTACTAACAAAGTATCTTTGTATAAGAGGTTGTATTTTCATCTATCATCCTTATATTAGTCATACATACGAAATAAATCAATTGTTTTTATTTCAAGTAAAAATAAAGGAAGTAAAATGGTTTGTGCGAGTTTGGGGCGAATTTGAAGAAAGTAAAGGATTAAAGTAGTTATTCTACAATTATAACCTTCAATCCAACAAGTAAGTAAAAGCAAAATTGGTCCACAAAACGTCAAGCATAAATGATAAATATATAAAATTATTAAGTGGATAAGTAAAAAGTTCCTGAAGTTTGCTTTGGGGAAATATTTATATTTTTTGGACAACCTTAAAAAATGGGACAGGTGTAGTAATAATTAGAACTACTTATTTCTGCAGTGGACATTACAAAATATTTAGGACATTTTTTTCTTTCCTTAGTTCATATAGTCATTTTTTAATTTGAAAATATAGTTTCAATCGTTAGTGAATTTGTACTTTCTATGAAAGTAGCCACTACCAAATATGTATGTAATTCACAAATTCAAATGTATACTTTCTAATACACATGATTTTTATAATCAATTCGTCTCAACGAAGATATCCCATTAAAATAATTATCACATTTTATCTTTCACGTAGTTTAAGGCAATTATATTATTGTAGACTTTATAAAAAATAAAAGGTTTTTGGTACTGCTATAATAATGTATACTTTATTAAGTGTATTGTTGTTTGTAGCTTCTTTTAGGAAAGATTTTTTTTGCAAAAAATGAAATGAAATAATTCATTTGATACAACCCGAAAAAGAAAGTGAGACAACTATTTTGATATGTGGAGGGAGTATAATATATGAAAAGTAGAAAAATGTTTCAACCAATTGTTCTATATATGAGAATAATACAAACATACAAGAAAATGTCAAAACATTGCATGAAACTTAATACAGAGTAGTAGATATATAATGGGCAATTTTTTAAATAGAAGGGAAAATGGAAACTAATAATCCAACCTTTTAGCGGTCTTCTTTCAATAATCCCACCTTTTGATTATTCATGAATAATCCAACCTTTGCACCTCATCTTCATTCATTGGTCCCTGGTCGGTTAATGACCTACTATTCCAAGTTATTTTCTTATCTTTCCAAAATATTATCTTTGTGAAAGATGAAATTTATGGTATAATGATTTGCAAAGATAAGAAAATAGCTTGGAATAGTAGGTCATCAACCGGTCAGGGACCAGTGAATGAAGATGAGGTGTAAAGGTTGGATTATTCATGAATAATCAAAAGGTGGGATTATTGAAAGAAGACCGCTAAAAGGTTGGATTATTATTTTCCATTTTCCCTAAAAAGAAAAGGAAGAAGTGAAATAAATCCTTCCACTATTTCCAATGCACCACTTAAGTTCATATATTAAAAAAGTATCATGTAAGTATGTTTACTATAAAAACAACGTCAATCAAGTCACTTTAACCTGTAATACCATGTTAATAGTATACAAATAGTATTAGGTCAAAAATGGATATAAATATTTTTAAAAAGTTATCTTAAAAATAAAAGCAGAAAAAATCAAAACTAAAGTGAAAATGTAAAAAACATAAAATTAAGTTGTAATACCTCCATCCCAATTTGATGGTCTCAGTTCATATTTACTTGGTAAACACAAATCACTCTCAATCTCTTACTTTATATATCAAGTTTTTTATCAAATTTGTTTCTGGTTTTTGCAACTTTGTAAAGCTTTTAATGTACTTTCTGAATATGTAATATTTTTTCTTAAAAATAAATTGAGTGCGGACAGAGATCTGTTTGCATTGTCGTCGGTCTAGCATCGTAAACCTGCAACAAGACCATCGAATTGGGATGGAGGAAGTAGTAACTTGAAAAAAGATGCAGAATATACAAATAGTTCCAAAAATACAAGAATATAGACTTTGCCATTCTTAAATTGCCAACAACTTTTGTATATAATTCTTCCAATTTTAACAAATTGTTAAAGTTTTTTAATATAAAAACATTTTATTACAGGTAAAAAATAAGTTAAATGATACATAGTACTTTTTAATATAGATGTCCTAAGTGATGAATTGTAAATTGTAAAAGAAACAGTTTGTCCTTTCCCTTTTTTATTTTAAAAAATTGCTCATTATGTACCATTACACTCCGTAATAGTATGTAATTTCAAACAAGTTATTACTCAACTCTAGATATACCTCGTGCATCGCACGGGTACTTCGTCTAGTATAATATAAAGTAGCAATCTTTGGGCAGCAATTGGAGGGAAAAATCCCGCCCAAATTTGGGTCATAATGGTGAATTAATGTGAAATGAACTTTCTGTCTAAGGTGTAGCTGAATTAATGCTTAATTAGGAATACAATAGCTGAAAATTAATTAAAAGCCTTATCATTTATGATGAAATGAAGTACTAATTGTCACGTACAACTATATGTGAGGAATGCAATACTTTGAAGTAAAATATGCAGGGCCGGTGTTTGACAGGTTCAACCTGTTCTCTAGAACAGGGCCCCAATTTTTTGAGGGCCCCCAAATTATTTTTCTTTAATAGTATTATTATATAGTATTAATAGCAAATTAAAAAATAGTTTTAATAAATATAAAAAAAGGTGCA